CCCCCCCCCCCCCCCCCCCCACACACACACACACACACACACACAGTGTACCCCGAGGAACACGGTCAAATGCCTTCTCCAAGTCTACAAAACACATGTAGACTAGATGGGCAAACTCCCATGACCCCTCAAGGACTCTAGTGAGGGTAAAGAGCTGATCCAGTGTTCCACGGCCAGGAGGGAACCCACATTATTCCTCCTGGATATGAGGTTCGACTAACGATCGGACTCGCTTCTCCAGTACCCCTGAATAGACCTTACCAGGGAGGCTAAGGAGAGTGATGCCCCTATAATTGGAGCACACACTCTGGTCACCCTTTTTGAAGAGGGGAACCAACTGATGTCCACGCGACGTTGCAAAGGCATGTCAGCCAAGACAGCCCCACAACATCCAGAGCCTTAAGGAAATCAGGGTGAATCTCATTCACTCCCAGAACCCTGCTGCCTCGGAGCTTTTTAACTACCTCGGCGACCTCAGCCACGGTGATGGACGGATCAACCCCAAAGTCCCTCGACTCAGCTTCCTCCATGGAAGACATGCTGGTGGGATTGAGAGGGTCTGAGAAGTATTCCTTCCACCTCCCGATGTATAATATTTTTGTCTCATTTGTTTAACTGGGTTCTCTTTATCTACTTTTAGGACTTGTGTCAGATTTATGCAGAAATATACAACATTCGAATGGCTTCACAAACGTTGAAGCACCACTGTATAATGTAAATTAAGTATCTATATAGATAATGGCTACTTCATATCAGTATTTAGCACCATTGGCTGCAATCACAGCCCTGAGAAGACTCAGTCAGTCTGAACACTGGACTTCTACACCATGCTTCTTTGCAAAACTGCTCCAGCTCTGTGAGGTTGTGCAGGGATCCGATGTGAACGGCACTTTTCAAGTCAAGACACAAATTGTCTATTAGATTTAGGTCTGAGCTTTGACTTAGTCACTCCAGAACATTCACTGGGTTGTCTTTAAACCACTTTTATTGTTTCACTGTATGCTTACGGATTGTCTTGCTGGAAAATAAATCTTCTCCCATGTCGTAGTTCTTTTGCAAACAACATCAGTTTGTCCTCGAGGAATTTCCAATATTCCAAAGCATTTATTTTACCCTCTATCTTTACAAACTTTCCAGGAACTGCTGACAAGAAGCATCCCCATAGTATGATGTTACCACAACCATGCTTTACAGTGGGGATGGTGAGTTTGTGGTGATGTGCATTATTTGGTTTCCACCAAACATGGTGTCTTGTCAGAGCCAGAGATTCTTTATTGTCATTTGCATCTCATGTGGTACATGTGGTGGAACGAGATTATGTACACAGGGTCCCTGTTACATCCAACAATGAAATGTAAAAGAAAAACATTAATAAGATCTAATATATGAACTAAGAAAAACATAAACTAAATAATACACTAAGCACTAATAGCATAAAAACATTACGTTGAACAGTAGACGAACATGAGACTGTGTGAGCAGATGAGCACGCATGAACACATCAACATGAAATAGATCAGCAGCAACATGAAACAGATCAGCAGCAACATGATGTGATTTTTTCACAGTGATTATCCTGGTTAGAGATTCATGACTCTAACAGCCTCAGGGTAGAAGCTGTTCCTCTGTCTAGTGGTTCTAAACTTATTGCTCCTCAACCTGCTTCCTGAGGGGAGTGGGCAAAAAGTGTGTGTGCTGGGTGAGTGGAATCCTTGATGATGCAGGTGGCCCTCTTCCTGCATCTGGAGGTGTAGATGTCTGTGATGGTGGGGGGGCTGACTCCAACAGTCTTCTGTACAGCCTTCACCACTCTTTGCAAAGTTTTTCTTTTTGCAACTGTGCAGCCTCCATGCCACACGTTGATGCTGGAGCACAGGATGCTCTCCACTGCACACCTGTAGAAGGAGGTGAGGACTGAGCTTCACAGACCAGCTCGTCTCAGCTGCCCAAGGAAGTAGAGTCTCTGATGAGCTTTCTTGATCAGGCTGGTAGTGTTGTTGCCCCAGCTGAGGTTGTTGTTCAAACGTACACCCAAGTACTTGTAGCTGCAGACCACTTCCACCGCAGATCCTCTTATGTTAAGGGTGGGGTAGGTGTGTTTGTTCATCTGAAGTCCACAGTCATTTCCTTTGTCTTCTTCACATTGATGTGAAGGTTATTCTCTTTGCACCAACTCTCTAGGTGTTCCACCTCCTGCATGTAGCTGGACTCGTCATTGTTTGTGATGCATCCCACCACCGCTGTATCATCTGCAAACTTTACAATATGACAGCCTGGTTGAGTGGGTGCACAGTCATACATGAGCAGAGTGAACAGGAGAGGGCTCAGCACACATCCCTGAGGAGAGCCAGTGCTGAGGGTTATGGTGGAGAAAGAGAAGTTGTTGATCCTCACTGCCTGTGGTCTGTTTGTTAAGAAGTCTAGTACCCAGTTGCAAATGGAGGGGCTTAGTCCTAGTGTGAATAGTTTGTCCATCAGGGTTTTGGGGATCATGGTGTTGAAGGCAGACGTGAAGTCCACAAAGAGCATACGGACGTAGGAATATTTCTGCTCCAGGTATCTGATGGCCAACAGCTAACTCTCTTCCACTTGGTCATGTAGTTTTCTACATGGTGTTGGACAAACTCCAGATTCAATTAATTTTCTTCAACAGGGCTTTGTCTTTGCCTCTCATGAAACTAGACAACAGTTACTGTATACTGCAGTCATTTGAGACAAATCTACTACCCTCAGGTGATTCCTATTTCACTATGACTACCAGCGCTAAGCGATTGCACCTCTGTTGAATTATTACAGTTACATTAAAGGGGTTGAATATTTATGAAATTATTTTAAATTACATATTTTCATTTACAGGGCAGCACGGTTGCACAACTGATAGAGCTGCTGCCTCTCAGCGACCAGGTCCCTGGTTCAAATCCCGTTCCGGGGGCCTTTCTGGGTGGAGTTTGCATGTTCTCTCTGTGCATGCGTGGGTTTTCTCCAGGTACTCCGGTTTCCTCCCACAGACCAAAAACATGCATGTTAGGCTGATTGGTAACTCTAAATTGTCTCTAGGTGTGAGTGAGAGAGTGAATGGTTGTTTGTCTCTATGTGTCCCTGTGATGGACTTGCGACCCGTCAAGGGTGTACTCCGCCCCTCACTCAGTGATTGCTGGACATGGGCACTGGCGACCCCCATGACCCAAAATGGAATAAGCAGGTAAAGATAATGGATGGATGGATGGATGGATGGATGGATGGATGGATGGATGGATG